TATCGTGTGTGTGTGTGTGTGTGTGTGTGTGTGTGTGTGTGTGTGTGTGTGTGTGTGTGTGTGTGTGTGTGTGTGTGTGTGTTTTGAGGGGAGTATGTGTATCAGGAACAGATCAGGTGTCCAATTGTCCCTCCCACATCCTGGGATATGCACACAGAATGGAGTAGAACTTTACTGTGGTATTTCTAAAGTCTCAAGATGCAGTTTAGCAGCTCACTGGTTTGGACCGCAAATTCTGCTCCTCAGTAGAGTGTAGACGGTGACCACCGCCAAGGTCGTTAGCTGTTTACAAAAGAGTTTTGTTTGAATGTCGCAAACCCCCTTTGTGGAGGATGCCAGAGACTGACTGGAGTTCATCCATACCGTACACAAAGGGGAATGTGAGCCAAGTCGGGAAAACTGCCTATTATCACCTAAATCACATGTGTCAAATTCAAGGCCCGGGGCCAGATCCGGCCCGTCACATCATTTCATGTGGCCCGCGAAAGCAAATCAAGCATGTCAAGTTCCATGATGCTTGCTAAAGTCTTAACCGAAATTTCAAATTGTTATATGTAATCCACAATACAAGTCATTATTCTTGACTTCAGATTTTAAAACAAGTTATTCATCAATTTGTTGTGCACTGTGTATGTAATATGCGGAGGTGATTAAACATTTACTGTATATGGTTTCCCAAAATTCATAATGGCCCTCCAAGGCAAACTGTAACTACGTGGCCCGCAACAAAAAATGAGTTTGACACCCCTGACCTAAATGAAATGAAAAAGAATGGCTCTCAAATTAAACAAGTGAAAACATTTTTATTTTTGTTTTAGTGATCAGGTCACTGTGCTATAAAACGATGGAGTCAAAGTTCCATTGTGGCTCAAAACAAAGGAACACACACTTTTTATCCAAAGCAGTAAATGCAATGGGTTCTACATGGTACATGTGCGAAACCTCTACAAAGTTTTATGGAAAGGACCCAAGTCTGTATAAACTACTTTCAATCCGGATGTTGGGTTGCACTGAAGGGATGGGAGAATTGTTTTTTTTTGTTTTTTTTTGGGGGGGGGGGGTAATGGTGCCAAGGTGGAATTGGCAAAGCTGGGAGAGCTCATGTTCTTCATTAGACTAACAAACAAACTGAATCAACAGACCCGCTGCTGGTTGTAGACAAACAGTGCCCTCCCATTTGGCATCAGTTTGTGAAAGACACGATTAATAAACAATCAGTGACATGACGACGATATTGTGGTCATTTGAATATTGCAATGTCGCGATATTGCCGTCATTGTTACATCCCTACATCCTCTCTGCTAAACGTGTGTGTGTGTGTGTGTGTGTGTGTGTGTGTGTGTGTGTGTGTGTGTGTGTGTGTGTGTGTGTGTGCGTGCGCGTGTGTGGTGGTGGGGGGGGGTTGGGGGGGGAGTTGCCTGTCAGACAGCAAGGTCAGAGAGAGAATTTTTCAGGCCTAACGTTCCATGACAACCGGCCAAGGTTCCATCAAGGTGACTCACTGCCGCCCGGGACACACACACACAAATCTTGCCCATCTCTTTTGTCCCGCTTTTCGCTCTTTTCTATCCTCCTCCTTTATCTCCCTCCTTTCCCTTTTTTTTATACCTCTTCGGTTTTATCTGCGCTTAATGTAGTTATTAATCACAGTTGTGGTCTGAACGGACCACCAAAGAGCTCCAATAAGAAACAAAGGAGCGATGAAGCACAGATCCTTTAAGAGGACAAGGCTCCCCCTGTGGAAGCTCCATTATCCCACGCGTTATTTGTATCTGTCCGCGAGCACCGGCAACACGAGGGAGAGGATGTCGCGGCGATAAGTCAGCGACTGGATAGCTGCGGGGACAGAAGTCGCTGATGCATTCTCGCGTGTTAACATTCCGCGTGTGTCAACCCTCCCTGACACCCGTTTGTGTTTGGGAGATGACATCTGTTTTCTTGCATTCTGTCATGTGACGCGTTGCCCGTATGAGATGCCAGTGCGTACGAGTAGTGCAAAATCATAATTGCCGACAAATCAGCGAGCTGGAGACTGGCAGGCTGAGCAGCAGCAGCACCAGCAGCCGTTTGTACATAATCCATTCAAGTTGTGTGACAGTCACATTGTGACAGCTCACAGTCCCTTGCACAATCAATATATTGTGCAAAACCACAAAAGACTAATTGACTCGCTTAAAGGATGCTTGAATGTCAACATCTGAAGGGCCTTCTGTGTCCAGCACTTACAAAAAAGAAAGAAGGAAAGTCCCCAAATTGTACCTCAGTTGAAACATGAGGAGATCACAGTGATCCCTTGAGGGATGCTGACAGAACAGCAAATGTGTGTTTTTTTTTCTCTTTTATTGCTGCAACTGGTATCTGTGATAACATCAAATCTCTCCAGGAAAGCGTGATTGCCGCTGTGACCTCCTTTTTTTGTCAAAGCAACAAACGGCATTGTCCCGTTTTCTCTTCTTTCCCCACTTCATTTAACCTCTCCCCCCCTCTCCGACTCCCTTTTCCACCTGTACATCTGCCATTATCATCTCATTTTTTTCACCTTCTCCCCCCCCACCCCCTGTGACATCCACTCCCTTCCTGTCTTTCAGGCTGCAAAGTGGGGTTTTACCGCTCGCTGTTGGATTCCCTGCTCTGCAGTAAATGTCCACCCCACAGTGTGGCCCGGCACACTGGAGCGACTTTATGCAGCTGTGAAGAAGGATATTACAAGATTGACTCTGATCCTCCCAATATGGCCTGCACACGTGAGATTGAACTTCTGTCTTTGCACACATTTGGCACAGATTGACATTTGATTTGTCCCATTTAGAGAGACATTGAGGAAAAAAAACACCAAGCATGTATACGCTACTTGAAATGCTGAAAACTGATTTTTTCTTTTTCACCAACAAATGGCCAAAAAGCGGACCATGGCACTTTTCGCCATGTATGAAAAAGAAAGGAAAAAAAATGTGTCTGGAAAAGCCTACCAGAACAACTAAGCTTTATTTTGGGTCAATCAGAAGCATTAAAAATGGTAGCAGGTATGTGCTGACTCTCATTTAATACGTTTGAATGTGATGGGTTAATTTGGAACACATCTCCTTCCCAGTTCCAAGAATGTGTTTCAGTTGTTTATATTTAATCAGAAACATGGAAAAAAAATCATTCAGGGTGAAGTTTTGGGAGTGTTTCCAGTCCTCTTTGTGAGCACTGTGAAGAAGAACAAATAGGATGTCAAATTATGAATGAATGTACTAGCTCTTCATTGGTGCAGCTTTGTAAGTCCTACACACAATGCTTATTTCTAAAATTGTCATGACTGTAATTAAGTCAACAACAGTCATCAAACAACATCACCACCGCACATGATCGATAACACTTGAAGCATTTCCCAATGAGGCAACTTGCCCTTGTGACTCTTAGGGCCACCGTCCGCTCCGCGCAACGCCATCTCCAACGTCAACGAGACCAGCGTCTTCCTGGAGTGGTCTGTTCCCATGGAGTCCGGAGGCAGGAAAGACATCCGTTACAACGTCCTTTGCCAACAAGTCTTGCCGGGCGGAAGGGGCTTGGAAGAGTGCGGCCCAAACGTGCGCTTTCTGCCGCGTCAGGCGGGCCTATCCAACACCTCGGTGATGGTGGCCGACCTGCAATCGCACACCAACTACAGTTTCCTGCTGGAGGCCGTCAATGGCGTGTCCGAGTTTGCCAAAGACCGCACGAAGCAGTATGTGTCACTCAACGTGACCACCAATCAGGCTGGTACGTAACGGCTTTCTATTTCAAAGTTCACAAAGTCCTTTTGAATCTCTCTGCGTCCGCTGGGACTGTCCTGGTAAATGTAACAAACGCCAGATGATCATGTTATCAGAGTGTAGCTAAACCAGTCTGTCACTGTGCTTACTTGTACTTGTGCCTGAGTCTCCGTGGAAATTCTTTCATTGAAACGACCATAGGGCGGCCCGGTGGTCCAGTGGTTAGCGCGTAGACCTTACAGTGCAGAGGTCGTGGCTTCGATCCCAGCTGCGGCCTTCCTGTTTAGAGTTTGCATGTTCTCCCCAGGCCTGCGTGGGTTTTCTACGGGTACTCTGGTTTCCTCCCTCATTCCAAAAACATGTGTGGCGGGCTGATTGAACATTCCAAATTGTCCCTAGGTATGAGTGTGAGCGCGGACGGTTGTTCGTCTCTGTGTGCCCTGCGATTCAGGGTGTCCCCCGCCTATTGCCCGAAGACGGCTGGGATAGGCTTCAGCAAACCCCGCGACCCTTGTGAGGATAAAGCAGATCGGAAGACGGATGGATGGATGGATTTATGGATAAACGACCACAAGTCCTCGAAGCTGACACTCCGAGCAACCTCATACGTATTACTGTTTGTGTAGGGATGATCGTGTGTGGGCGGAGCAAACTCATTGAGACCAATTACGCTGATGACATGCATGTTGAGATGATGGTTGTTTTTGCTGTATTTTGCTTTGGAGTTGTGACATCTTGTTTGCGACAGCAATGACCGAGTAGACACCTTTCGGGGACAGCGGTTACTACAGTGGGCAGTTTACCAAGTTATCAGGTTACAGGGTGCATGAAAGGGTTTATACATTGAGACATTGAATCTCACCAATTGTCAATACCAAAACCTTTCTTGGATCCCCATTGAGACATTGAATCTCATCAATTGTCAATACCAAAACCTTTCTTGGATCCCCATCAAATAGACATTAAAATTCCGACAGCATCTTCTTGGGAAACCAATTTTTCATCAATTGTGCTTGCGTATTTGCGTTTTATTTCTAATGAAACGGCAAACTCACAGGATGATGCAATGAGATGAATAAAATGTGTGTGTTCTTCTCCAAAATGCTTCCATTCAGGAGATAAGTTGAAAAAGAAGACTTTTCAAGAAATTTTGGAGTCCGGGTTATTGACAGACGCTCTGCATGCTTACGTGGAAATGGACGGGTGTGGACGGCAGGGACGGTCAATCGGTCAGGGAGGGAAGAGACAGATGGTTGTCTGACAGTCAAGAGAACCGACAGACCTCTGACCCCGCTGTCACCGTGACTGTCAGCAGTCTGAGGGGATTACACCGGACTGCAGAGCTCACTTTGAGTTCATCGGAGTTGTTGCGGGATTAGAGTTAACCAATTGGAGATTAGGGATTGCACGAGATTACATATGACAGGCAAAATCGCCGCTCCTCGACAATGGGTGCAATTGCGTTGCTTAAATTACACTTGATCATTAACTTCATAGCGTTGGAGGCAAGTACACGTCAGCAACCAGTGAGTAAAAACTGTTTTGTGTCATAGACAGATTGGCCTTTGGATTTTGTTTTTCTCTCGCTAATGGCCATCATCTATCATCATGCGTTGATCCATTTGGTTTAAAGTAAACCCCCTTTTTACCAAAACGTGTCCAATTTGGCGCAGGATTTGGGCATAATAACGGATTTTTGGATAATTACAATTTTGCATCATTGTGTCAAATACATCGGTGATTAATTGCCTCTTGAGGGGAATATGTGGTGTCCATCTTTGGTTGCACCAACAGTCATAGTTCAGTCTCAACTAGTTGCAAAATAAAGAACGGCCTCACGATGCCAGCGATGGGATGTTGAGTTACATTCATGGAAGCATCCAGGATGGCACAAAGCCTCCGCAATGCCAATCGAGCACATTAAAAGGACAAGTTGTCCATCCCTTTAAATAATTCAAAATTACTAAATCACATCATTGTTCATTCTATCCATGGTCATCTTGAAAATTGTCATCTGGAAAGGGGTAATGGCCAAGCGGTTAATTGAGATTGAAAAATAAACACACGCGCGCGCGCACACAGACATACACACACACACACACACACACACACACACACACACACACACACACACACACACACACACACAGCATCACAAT